TGGTACATACAATGTGATGAAAGTCTATGTAAAACAGACAGCTTAAATTTCAATGTAGAAGTAGGATATATACCTATTGTAGGGTAAGGTAAAAAATCAGGCTTTTCTGCCCTCCCGCCATCAGGATAAATGAGGGAACCTGTGATCCTGAATGCATGCCTGATGGCGGGCACCTGAAGTGGGTACACCTGTGCTAAGACTGTGTTTTAAGGGTGGTGTCACGGGGACGCCAGTAGAAGCCGAAAGAGAAGCCAAAGCAGAAGCCGAAAGAGAAGCCAAAGCAGAAGCCGAAAGAGAGAAGCCGAGAAGCAGCAGAACGACACCGGAGAGCCCAGATAGAGTGAAGACTTGCTGGGGGCTGGCAGGCTGGCAGGCCAGCACCCTGCCTGCCATATGCCTGGTGAACCCAATAAAAGACCTGCAAAAAAACCACTGAGGACTCTGACTCCTCCTTTACCCGGTCTGCATGGGATCAGAAAACCTGCACTGTGCCCGTTCCTGACCTTACACCTATGTATATATGAATATGAATATCTGTAGGGTAAAGAAAATATCAGGCTTTTTCTGACCTTCCACCATCAGGATAGATGATGGATCCTTGTCCTGAATGCATGCCTGATGGCGGGCACCTGGAATAGGGTGTGGGGTAGAGGTAGATGGGATTCAGCTGAGCTAAGACTGTGCTTTTAAGGGCGGCGTCACGGGGACGCCAGCAGCAGCGTAGAAGCTGAAGCCGAAGCCGAAAGAGAAGCCGAGAAGCAGCAGAACGAACTCCAGAGAGCCCAGATAGAGTGAAGACTTGCTGGGGGCTGGGAGGCCTGCCAGCCTCCCAGCCCCACACCCAGCACCCCTGCCTGCCATATGTCTGGTGACCCCAATAAAAGACCTGCAAAAAAACCACTAAGGACTCTGACTCCTCCTTTACCCGGTCTGCATGGGATCAGAAAACCTGCACTGTGTCCAGTCCTGCCCTACAATATTGTAAAAGATAGGGAACATGTAAATAAACATAATATTGGCTGTCTTTAGGAGAGGAAGAAGGAATAGGAAATGACAAAAGGGTCGTTAGCCTTTTCCGTAACATCTGAAAAGTCCACATATATTCATGCGTAAGTTGTGTGATTAAATTTTAAATGAATTTTCAAAATGAGTTAACCCCCACCTGTAACTCTCCAGGCAAGGCCAGACAGTTCTTGGCAGGAAAGGTGATCTGGCTCACCTGCTAAGCCACTGGTTTATTAGAAACAGCAAAGAATTGAAGAAGGGACTAGCTGGTGTAACCCACTCAGCTCTGCTTTGAGAAACTGAGTATCAGGAGGCTGCTTCCTGGCTGTGTGCACTGGAAGAGCTCCTGAGCCTCGTTTTCCTTACTTGACAGTTAAATTTGATTTTCAAATAAGCAAAAATTTTCCATGTGAGTAGTATCCTAACCCCTTCTTCAGGTAAGAAAATTGGTAGGGTAGATGAGGTTTGGGGTGGGATTTGCTGTTCCCCATCCCAGGAAATAAGGTTTTCAAATACAATAATTCCTCTCCCAGGCCTCAGGGCAAAAACTGCCCCAAACTGCTGAGATTGCTCTACCCTCAGTGCTGTCTCCCCAGGACATCCTGGAAGGAGGCCTCTTTTCAGATGCTACCTGTAGGGTAAGGTAAAATTTCAGGCTTTCTGCCCTCCTGCCATTAGGATAGATGACGGAACCCTGTGGTCCCGAATGCATGCCTGATGGCGGGCACCTGTAATAGGGTGTGGGCATAGGTAGATGGGATTTACCTGGGCTAAGACTGGGCTTTTAGGGGCAGCGTCACGGGGACGCCAGCAGAAGCCAAGAACAAACAGAAGCCGAGAGAAGAGAAGCAGTAGAAGCTGAGAAGCAAATAAGCAGAACAGAAGCCTAGAGAGAGAGAGAGAGAGAGAGAGAGAGAGAGAGAATGCCGGAGAGCCCAGATAGAGTGAAGACTTGCTGGGGACTGGGAGGCCTGCCAGTCTCCCGGCCCCCAGCACCCCTGCCTGCCATATGCAAGTCTAAATAAAAGACGTGCAAAAAACCACTTAGGGCTCCAGGACTCCTTCTTTACCAGGGCTGCAGGGGATCAGAAAACTTGCTCCGTGGCCATTCCTGCCCCTACATTACCCCATCACCCCTTATCCCGAACCCCACTGAGTTTCCCAACCTTTTAAGGACAGGAAAAAGCAGCAGCCAGTAGGAAAGGAGCCTTAAGCCAAACCCACCATTACTACCCCCCAGGGTAAGTTTGTTTATCTGTAAAACAAATGGCACTATAATAGCTCCATCTATTCCCCCTCCCCCCAGATGCAGTAAAGATCAAATCCTATGAGGCAAGAAGGAGTTTAGGGAAACTTCAATGCCACACGAATGCAGATGGCCAGAAAGGACTGACCAACTAGCAAAACGTAGGGTCCATGTCCCTTCCGAGTGTGTGCACCCAGTGCTCGGAAGAGATTCTCAAGAGGGAGAGTCACTATTGAAGACATGAAAGTTGTGATCTCTGGAAGCAAACTGGGAGATGATGACTTGCAAGCTACACGTGAAGAAGGCCTGGAGAACGGAGAACTCTGGGGGCTCTGGAGCTGAAAGAGCTGGTAGATCTTTGAGTAAGGGCCATCCCCAGAAAGGGTGTGTGACGTTGGGCAAGGCTGCTCTGCAGCCGAGGCTGTCTGACGGAGCTGACTGCTAAAGGCTGCTGCCAAACACTCCAGAGGCTGAGCAGCCAGTCCCACCTTGACTGGGATCTAGGTGGCACATCACTGTGCTCACCATATTAAGCAATCCTTTTTACCCGCAGTACCAACCTGTTATGATATTATTATCATCCTTTTTTACGAAAGAAACCAAGGCATAGAGAAGCTAAGTAATTTGCCCAAGGACACACAGCAAATAAGAAGCAGACTTAGGATATGAACAGCAGTTTGATTTGGATCTGCCAATATGCACTTCTCACTCCATCTTCAGACACCCTAGAGGGCAAGTGTGTTCTATTTCCCAGTCACAGACTTCAGATTCAGAGAGGTTTGGTCACTTGCTTAAGACCCCAGCGTTCACCAAGGTGCTTTCAAGTGAAGGATGCAGTTTCTTACCTAGGACCAATCTGCCTTGGCGTCCAGGAAGGAAGAGCCCAGTCTGCAGGTGAGTCCAAGTAGCAAGCAGTTCCTGCGGGAGCCTTAGCAGCTGGTTGCTGGAGAGGTCCAGGAAGGTGAGGTTCCCCAGGAAGCCCGCCGCCTCCGGAGGCACCCCAGAAAGGCGGTTGGCCTGCAGGTCCAGCAGCCGCAGCTGTGGGGCGTCCCTGAGCGCGGCCCAGGGGAAGGCGGTCAGGCGGTTCCCAGGCAGCCTCAGCTCGTGCAGGCGGCCCAGGCCTCGTAGCATGAGGGCGCTGAGCTCGCTGAGGGCGTTGTAGGGCAGCCACAGCTGCTCCAGGCGGCCAGCAGCCTGAAGGCCTCCCCAGGCACCCTGCGGATGGCCGTCCGCTCCAGGCGCAGTCTGGAGGTGTCCAGCGGGACAGAAGCTGGGGGCAGGGTCATGTCAGGGTCGTTACACACCACAGTCCTGGTCACAGAAATGGGGGCTATTTGAGCAAGGGTCTTGTTGGATCTGGGACTCCCTCCCCCCACTTGCCTTCAAGAGTCTTCTGGCTGTGCGAATCAACACAGACCCCCAAAGCCTGGCTCCAGGCTGTGGTGAGCCCCGGAGAGAAGGCAGAAATAAATGTTTTCTTTGGGGGGAATTCTTGCTTCCAGAGCCCTTCACGGGAGTCCCAAGAGGGCCCTTTGGTCTGGGCTACTGATCTGAAGGACCGTCAATTGTTGTATCTCATTATAGCCCACACCACCGCAGTGCACTGGGATGAGTAATATTCATAAATCCTGAGGTCATCTTCTGCATTATCACGTGCATATATGCGTTAAGAGGTTTGTTTGTTAAATTATATCTCTGCTTTGTAACCATTTTTTCTGGTTTATTTTTTTTAGGGGGGGGTGGAATATATATATGAAGGGCATTGGAAATACAAGCACCTTGACCTCTCCTGATTCTGAGGGCCCATATCAACATGAGGGTTGGGACTTTGCATCTCTGCAGCTGGATCCAGGCCTGCTGGTGTTGTATCTGAGTCTGTTCCCTAACCTCTGTTTTCCTCAGTTTTCCTATAACCAGAATGGAGGTTTCTATGAGGTAATGTGCATACCAGCTCCGCATACCTGTCACCTGTAGGGGCCCAATGCCATTGACCACTGTCATGAATTTCTGCATCCCAGTAGAACAGGCCAGTCCTACTAGCTCCTTCCAATGCACCTTCTGCCCAAATAGTGACTTCCTAAAACTTCTCCTATTAAGTTAGCCCTGAAGCAGAGGCTAGAGATAGCAGGAAGTAGTCTCTAGCCCCAAGGAACCCACACTCAGTGCTGTGTTTATCAATGACAACAGCACAGTCACATCAGGTAAAGGGAAATATCCTTAACAAGCACAAGTTATAATTCAGCTAAGGAAGAAAGAACAACTGGGACAATGATAGAGTGTGATTATACCAGTTTGGGTGTTGCAAAGAGGAGGTAGGTGGGAGTTGATGGCAGAACAGATCCTGGACGAGGAAAAAATGGTCAAGGGAGAAATCAAATTGCTAAGAAGAGCCAATTATAGTCAACAGTATGTCACTTCATGAGCAAACTAGGCATAAACTAGCAAACTAGCAAACTAGGAACACATCTGTTCAGGTGTGCAGTCTCCCCCCACCTCAGTAACCCCAATATCCACAGGTACACATGTCCTGTTCATGACACAGGAGCATGGAGCAGATCACTCAGGATGCTCAGACATAAGGGCTGGGCTCTCTGAGAGGTCCGCTTAGAGAAGGGGGCAAGGAAGTGGCTGGGGAGGGGGCTGATACATGGAAGGAGCCTCAATCTGACTGCACAGTCTGTGCCATGACCAATGGGGTCAACTTCAGCATTTCCTGGCCTCATTCTCTTCAAAGGCCACTCCATGCAGATGGACTGATGCACATCAGTTGTGGGACAGTCAGCAGGTAGAACAGATGTGAGCACGTTGGCTTCAGAGAAGGAATGGTCACTCACTGACATTAGACGCCCTGGAACTGCCCTTGGAACGTGTTTCTCCTAAGGCTAACTGCTAGCTGGAGCCATCCCTTGCCCCCTGCCCTAAGCATCACAGGTGAGAAGCACTCTGGAAGTGGAACTCTAGCTCTGATTTCCAGGACCAGGTCTGCCATGGATGCTGTATGACCTTGAGCCCTATGCCCTCTGAGGATGGCAAGGAAGGCCTTTTGTTACCCTGGTCCTTGGTCCTGGGCTGTTTCCAGGCCTGCTTGGGGCTCAGCCCTGACTTTTTAGGGGGAGAGAATATTTACCTTTGCCGATATCAGCGTCTTGGGCCAAAAATAGAGCTCTTCCTGTTCTTCAGATCATACAGGGTGACTCTATTCTCTTCCTGCCCTCATGCCAATCAACCTGACACCCATTACCAGATCATCAAAAGGGTCACACTGATAATGGTCAGAAATCATCGGTGGCTCCATTGCTCCCATCTAATTTGAGGGAGAAAGAAAGGATGGGATTACAGGAGGTTGGAACGATAACAGGAAAGGCCTTGAGCCAGAGGTGAAACCCTTGAGCAGGATGGGAAATACAGCGGTCATTACTGGATAAGCTGAAGAGGTTGGAGAGAAGACAGTTTAGGAGGGGAGAATGAGCTGTGTGGAGGAGCAAACATCCACCTACCATGGTGGCCTTGGCAAGGTCCCATGGAAGGGGGAGAGGGGAGGTTGCATGTGCTCTCAGGGCTCAGCTGGAAGTGGGGAAATTCGAAGAAGAGCTGAGCATGAAGGGATGCTTGCTTGCAATGGATAGGCCTTTTGGTAAGCCCAAAAAAAAAGGGGAGGCTAAGGACCCTGGGGCCTGGGTCAGGAGAGAGAGCCTGTGGGTGTAGGTGGCCCGATCATGGGTGGGGTGGTAGGAATACCTGGGATGTGACTGAGTATTCCTGGGAGATAAAATTAGTGAATAGAAGAGGTCCAGGAAGGAATGGACTGGGGATACAGAGAGGATGTTGGAATGACAGGAAGGAAGGAGAGGAAAAGAAAGAAATTTTAAGGAAGGATCCTTTCCACTAGGATCTTGGAGGAGGGCTCAGGAAGGATTTCCTGGAACTGGCACACTCATGCCCACTCCAGCCCCATGTGTAGAGGTACCCGGTGCCTCCCACAACCTGCTTGTTACAAGATAGCGAAGTAGAGACCGTCCAGACAAAAGCCTTAGACTTGATGTGGTAATAACCCTGCTTTCAATCCCTCCCAAACCAGCCTAGCCAATGGAGCCATGGGAGCTGGGCTATCCTTCCACACGCCTGCTGCCTTACCTGGTCTTGCTGCCATCACTCAGGACCTGAAGGCTACAGCTGCAATGAGAGGGGCAGGAGCCCTGGACCTTGGGGGCACCCCGAGACCCAGGAGCCAGAGCATGCATACTACCACCCTCATGGCTCCCAGCTCCTCTGTGGCCCAGACAAGGCCTCTTCCTGGACTCCTCTGCCAGCCCAGCAAACCCGGCAGCTGCCCTCTGGCTCATCACTGTTCTTCCACCCCTCACCCCCTCTGTCTGCCTGAAGCCAGGGGATAAACACTAACAGGCTGGGGATTAGGGAGGGGAGCCCAGGTCACTGCACTCAGCAGCTTATTGCTTTCTGGAACCACCCAGGCCTGAGGTGGGTGTTTACATCCTCTGTCACAATAGCCCAGGCCCAGACAGCTCAGGGCATGGCAGGGCAGGGCAGCTGGGCAACCCCCAGGGGCAAGTGATTACTGCACCAGCCAACTGAACTGTCCACTGATGCCAATCTAATTGTGGTCTGCACAGACCCCACCAGAGTGCTGGGGTTCAGAACCCTAGGTACTGGGGAAACCAAACCCTAGCATCTAATAAAGGCCTTGGAAATCCTCTCCCGGGGCTCTAGCCCCAGTGAAAAAGCAATGAGCTGAAGGCAGTGAAGACATCAACAAGAGCCCATGCTCTGGGGCTACACTACCTGGGTTCAAATCCCAGCTCTTCCATTCACAGGCTGTAACTTTGGGTAGGTCACATGGTCTCTTCTGTGCCCTCCTCTGACAGTGGGTAGTGACTCTACAGTGTAACTCTATTAGGGGGCTTATGAAAATTTGACAATCCAAGTTTGCCAGACTTTCACAGCCTGTGGGAATGGGAGCTCTTGAGAGAGTAATAAGAACCCAATTTCCCAGGCACTTACAAATACCTGCTCATAGAGGAGCTGGGAAAAATTCAGTTATTTCGGGGAGAAGTCAGAAGTGTCCCCCATAGGCTCATGAGCCCACCCATTCTGCCAGGCAAACAGCAGTCTCTCCTGAAAGCCCACAGACACCAGTTTCAGAACACTACCATCGGGCAGGCCCTTCTGGGCATTACCAACTCTGCTAAATGCTTGTGGTGGCCCTGCTAAAGGTGAGTGCAGAGTTCCTGTCCCCCAGGGTATTGTACTCTGAGGAAGGTCCCAGAGCAGGACCCTACCATCTTCAGAGAAGGGACTTTCCATTTTTACCCACTGCCCCTACACTCAACCTCATCCCACAATAAAAACAGCCTTTTTTTTTTAAAAGATTTATTCATTTATGCATGCAAGAGCTGGGGTACAGATCAGAGATATGGGGGATGAGAGGATTCACCAGAGACAGAGTAGGGAACAGAACAGGCAGATTGACCAAAGTACACTGCTGAGGGAGCAGCAGGTGAGCCAGGAGAGGACTGCTGCGCCATGTGTGTTGCTTCCTGGCTAGCCGGGGATTAAACTCGTGCAGCAGAGGCTGTGGATTGCTTCATAGTGCTGTACTTAACCCTTGCGCCACCAGGGAGGCCCGACACAGCCTTTTACTCATTTATTCTTCATATTTGATTCCACAGCTTTGCTCTCTGGTCCAGCATGCTTTCCTTACCTGGTTCCTTCAATTTTTCCAGAAGGTTCCTCAGTCCCTTGTGCCCATAAACCTAGGCAGCCCTAGACCAGTGAACTGTGACCAACACAGATACCTGGCGCCCCAATGCACATGTCAAATGCCTTGCTCTGTGCCAGCCATGCTCTGACAATGCTGCTTCCAGGAAATGTTCCTGTCCCTTTCTCTCTTCCACCCAACTAATATAATTTCCTCTGTGCTTCCTACTTGTACCTCCTCCCCAAGCCAAAAGGCCAGCCCTGCCCATTTCCTCATCTCTGCCTTTTCCCTTCTATTGGAGATGCTGCCTCTCTCTTTTGCCTAGCTGATCTCTAGCCTCCATTTCCAGCCCTGTCTTTGTTCTTCTCCCTTTACATCTTTTGCTGTCTTGCACATATGGAAAAAAAGAAACTCACGTATATATTAATCAGTAATACAAGACAGAAATTGGATAAGGGTAGGGCAGATACTAAGGTAGCTACGTTATCCATGAAGACTTCCAGGAGAATGGAAGCTCAGCCGGCAGGCTGGTTAGGCTGGGATAAATGGGGACACAAGAGGAGAGGCATGGAAAATGGATACCTATGCAACAGAACTCATTGCTTTTCCAGGGCCTAGAGGACAGGAGACCAGATTTTTGTTTCGGCTCCATCCAAGAATCACTACGTGACCTCATGTCAAGTCTTAACTGTTTTGAGCCTCAGTTTCCTGTGAAACTGAGGGAAGGATGATGGTATCTCATTCATGGACTTGTAGGAGCAGCATCATTAGCACAGTGTCTGTTCCTTAGCAACACTTGGTAAACATCAGCTAGACTGCTATTTTCACAGACTCTGGCCTTTGGCTTTTTTTATCTGAAAAATGAGTTAAGTTGCTCAAGAGTAGTGCTTTTGATACAAATTGCATCATAAGCCAGTGCATAACTTGTACCAACACCTTGTTTGTAGAAGCACAATCTCCTAGGGGGTCGCACCCGCTTCCAAGAAGACAGTAGCACCTATGTGCCAAGTCAGTGCCTTAGGAGATTTTGTGTTTGTGTAGCTTAAGTGTTCAGTGGGAGACAGGAAGGAAGTGCAGCCCCAAAGGTTATATTCGTGATGGATTCTTCTCACCAAGATGCATATAGGCCAGGGGAAAGATGCTTATGTTGCAAAGGAAGAAATGGAGAAGACCCTAAGAATCTCCCTCCAGAGTGCATAGCTAGTTCATGACAGACTTGGAATCAAAGCCTGTCTCTTGTCCCATTCTTTCTATGACAGCAGATGACTTCCCAACCATCATCCTTTGCCCATCACTTGTGAACACACACTTGTGAGCTTGTGGACACATACACGCATCCATATACATATGCGTTCAAGCACACAGTTTGGTACGAAAGGGCCTGACTCCTAACCGATTCTCAGCCACAGCTGCCAGTTTAAATTCCTCCTTTTGCAATCCACCCTTCCCTTGGTTATGCAACTCTTTTATAATTCAGCTTTTAGCCGCACACCATTCGGATTCTAGATCCTTAATCCTATCCTTTGCAGAAAAATGAATGACGCAGGGCTCCATTCCAGCTTCACAAAGGCTGCTCTGTCCAACTGGTGAATCGGCTCCTTCTTCTTTGGCCAAGAGGATGATTTGGGGGCTGGGAGCAGCAAGAAGAACCCCAAGGTTTAGCATAATCACCTGCATGTGCCAGCACATGGGATGGCCCTTTAAAAGGGAAGAGCCTGACTCTGGGCAGCCAGAGAAGAGCTGGGCCAACAAGGAAACAGCCAAGGATGGCACAGTCTGGAGCCCTGCCCACTGGCTTTGGGGAGGTGGAGGTGCTGGCAGTGAGGACAGTCCTGCTGGTGGAAGGTGAGCCAGAGCTGGGGTGAGGGTGACCTAGGGGCTCCCAGATCCCAGTCCAAAGCTATGAAGCTTCAAGGAGAGGTCCTCAAACCCTACGCCTGTGCCTGATCCTTGGGATCTTCTGATGGCTTCCCCTGTGGGATATAGCCTGAAGGCTGGAAATCCTAAGACAGAAGCCAGCAGAGGCTCAGGGAGGGAGGGACTTTGAAAGGAGGACATGACCAAGTATCAGGTTTCAGGTCTTTTATGTTCCTTCAACCTGGAGGGAGCTTAATCTACTCCCTGGGCTTTATCTCTCTGCCTGGTGTCCTGGGTGGCAGCTCCCAGTCCTAACTGGGTTCCTGTTCTCCAACACTCTCCCTGATGTTGCTGCACAGCCCTTAGAGAAAGCATTTTGGAATACGAACAACTTGAGTTCGAATCCAGCTCCATTGCATACTTAGCATCAATTGGTCCAGCATCTCTGAGCCTCTGTTTCCCTTCCCACTGAGGACAATCCAAGTGAAGATTGAGCTGAACTACATCAAGTGCTTAGCACCTTGCCTGGCACAAACTCAACAAGTGACCATCATGATGATTGTTATAGCAAAGACCATGCTATGTTTTATTAGTTTTCTTCCTTGTCTGTCTTTCCATTAGATTATGAGTTGGTAGAGGACAGGTGTGCATTTCCTGGCTCTTGGGATTGGGGAACCAGCTACACTAACAAGGTTCCTGAGCATGAAGGGGGCAATTACTGAGTATCCACCCAGCCCCCGGCTCCTGGTTTTGACTTCAGGTGGGCCTCTTCAGTCCTGATGTCAGCTTATACCCTTCCTTTCAGCTCTCTCTGGTCTCAGCCTCAACAGCCTGACCATCCTCTCCTTCTGCAAGGCCCCAGAGCTGCGGACACCCAGTCACCTGCTGGTGCTGAGCTTGGCGCTAGCCGACAGTGGAATCAGCTTGAATGCCCTTGTTGCAGCCACATCCAGCCTTCTCAGGTACCAGCCACCTCCCCAGTCCCTGGGCTCTGCAGCCCTGCCTGGGGCCTAACCTCTGGGAACCAGGCAGCCAAGCCAGGGAGACATCCTTCCCACTTATAGGAAGCAAGGATAGAGCAGTAGGCAGGCAAATTTAGCCTAAATCTGAATTCTAGACTATCCCTGAGGAACCTCAGCTGCTTTCTGGAAACAGAAGTTATTCAGACCCAAGCAACAGAGCTGGCTAATGGTCGGGATTAAGAGCATGGACCCTGTAACCAGCCCCATGGTTTGAATCCTGGCTCTATTCTTTCTATCATTTGAGTTCTCCCATAAACTGGATATCATTACCTAATTCACAAGGCAGTTGGATGTATGGACTTGTTATTACTTGTAACAACTTGAAACAATGTTTGGCACCTAGGAAGCCCTAAATAAGTGTTTGTGAGAGCAAACAGGATTTTGGCAAGAATCTAAGACCTTCTTTGCAAACCAGGGCCTTCCAGAGTGGCATCAGAAGGTGTTTACAGGATTGGTTTCCTATGTGAACTAAATATCCGTCATCTGGTTTGGGGTACCACAGAGACCTGGCTGTGTATGCTCAGAGCCCACTACTTTGTGGGGTCTGAATCAGTGAGGATCCGATCCCTTGCCCTGATCTCCTACTCCCCTACCCAGCTTGGGGGAGGAGGGGCAACAGAAGCAGCTACCTCTGAGTAGCCCTTGGGGCTTGAGAGATGC